CAACAACCACCAGGGCAAGTCTAGTTCATGTCTCAATTCATTTTCAACTCCAAGTAATTTAGAGTCCAGTTGCAAAACATTTCAAAGTCACTGGGCTTTTAAAATAGGTCCAAGTTCAAGTCTTAACTATTTTTGAAAAAAACTTACTGGTCAGTTGAAACAAGTCCAAATCAAGTCTCCAGCCGTTGGAAACAAGTCCAGTCTTAAAGAGGTCATATTCTGCTCATTCTCAGGTTCATACCAGGACAGCTTTACATGGTTTTATTAAAAAAAACAACATATAAATATATTTGTCATACTGCAGCTCCTATTTTCACCCTGTTTTAGCTATGGAGTGAAGCATCTCACTTCTATTCAATCTATGTTGGACATGCGCGGTACCTGGGTAAGGACTACTAGCCAATCAGAAGCAGAGTAACCCGGAGAAAGAGCTGTCTCTACATCACTTAACAACATTATGTCCACTGCCTGGAGGGTCTCTAACGTTCGGTAGGGTGTTTTTGAGGGCGTGCCACACTAGCCGCCAGGCGAGCATCATGACGAGTATCCATTATGGAAGTGAAAGGCTGGACTACGATCGAGCTGTTTTCTGGCAGTTCAAGAGCAGCGGTTTCTGTGGGAGATGGGAACTCCCTTTGGGGTGGACTTTTTCGCTCTGCAAAACTATTACATGCACAACAGATATATGACACAATAATGTAAAGGGGAAAGCCAAACGCCTTAAGTCATCTGAAACATCTCCATGTCTCTAATCCCCTGAAACAAGTTTAACGTCACTTGAAACAAGTCAAGCCCCCCCCGCCCCGCCCCGTTGTACCGACTTAGCGCTGTAGGACTGTATCATACTGAATCATTAACAATGGTTATTATCGTGGTAATCCCTTCGGCTGTGGCAGTAATTCCCGGCCCTGCCACTCCATCATGGATCACATGCACCTGATCTGACCTGCTGCAGTTTGGTCTTTAATAATTCAGCTCCCCTCTCCCTCTGACCTCTCCTCCGTCTGTGAAGATCAAACTGGTGTGAAGTGATTACTCACTCCGGCTGACACAGTCCTCCACCAGACCTCCCTCACGGCTGAGATATTTACCGAGGCAGCCGTGGGAGTAGGAGGTGTGGGTGCAAAAAGCATCACGTCCCAGTTGATCCCCATTAAAGTAAACTTTCAGACTGTTTATCTCTTTTGGAAGTGTTAGAAATGCCAGACTGCACTTACAGTCTTTTGGTTTTATTTTGCCCTTTCTCTCTGTCCACCGGTGCATTTACTTTTTAAAAATGAATATAAAGTTTGAGTGAATAACTCCTGCAAACTAATTCTTATGCAGCCCTTTAGATCCTAAACTCAGGCTAACTCCGACGTGTTGGAGTCTACATAGTCCTCGAACAGCCTTTATCTATAATCTTGTTACTCTCTGAGAGACTAACAGCAGCCCGGTTTTCTCACAGGGTAATATATCTTGCAGCAGGTTCAGTTCGAACTCATTCAAATGGTCCGTTGCACTTACAGTCTGTTAATTTTGGATTTGAAAAGATCGTTACAGATTGAGAATGCGTTAATGTGTATTGATGGGTGATTTGGATTTTTTATATTTTCATATGAAACCTATTTTTTAATCTATTTATGGTGAAAAGTGAAACTTTTCAGCAGAGTTTCAGGAGCAGGACCGCACCTCAATCACACCACTCATACCCTCATAACCCAACTCCTCTTCTTTGCTCTTATATTCTGCAGACATCTTGTTTCCTCGCCTCCTTCTTCCTCTCCGTGGGGTTTAGAGTGGGTCCGTCGTGCCCGGGTGCTGCGGCAGATTTCCTATCGAAGCTTCCCCACAGCACCATAGAAACACTGCTTTCAGCGAGTCCAAGCCTCGCACATTCTTTTTGTTCATCAATAAATCATTTAAAGAGATCTGTTGATGGTGTGGTCCATGCTAGTGAATATCTATTTAGTGAACGTTGGGTGGTGGAGCTCGCCTTTCTCGGATTTACATGGCAGGAAAGAAATCATGCAAGTAAGAAGACAAAAGCTGGGGCAGGCACACGATCATGCGAGTGTCAGACAACGTTGTTAACCGTCTTCTTTATTATATTTTTCCTCATCTGAACACAGAGTCTTTAGTTTTTATAGAGGGTCTTGAATAAAGTTTTGTTAAACCCTCTGTGATTAATAAATGGTTCATGGTTACTTAGTGATAAATGAATTAATTAACACCAGTTGTTGTTCTGTTTTATTTTGGACATGTTTGATGCCCTCGGTTGTTCCATCTGAACTCAGTGATCTGTAATACTGTATAACATAAAACAGTGGTAACCACATGTGCTGCTTTTGGAGCGAAGGAAGAATGATTGAAAGTCAGCGCTCAGCTTCAGTCAGTAATGTTAAGAACCACAAATCAAGCAAGAAATCTTGGTGTAGTCATGGACCTGAATTTAAGCAGCCACATTAAGACAATTACAAAGTCAGCCTACTATCACCTGAAGAATATATCAAGGATTAAATGTCTCAGCAGGACCTGGAAAAAACTATCCATGCATTTATCTTCAGTCGACTCGACTACGTCCAAAAAAGTCCTCACTAAGACCAAAAAGGTGGATCACATCACTCCAGTTCTGAGGTCTTTACACCTGTCTGTCAGAGGATTGATTTCAAAGTACTGCACTGAACGGTTTAGGGCCAAAATACATTTCTGATCTTTCCAGACCTCTCAGGTGGTCTGGATCAGGTCTGCTTTCTGTCCCCAGAGTCAAATCTAAACAAGGAGAAGCAGTGTTTAGTTTTTATGCTCCGTATATCTGGAACAAACTCCCAGAAAACTGCAGGTCTGCTGAAACTCTCAGTTCTTTTAATTCCAGACTGAAGACTTTTCTTTTTACCACGGGATCAAATTTAAAGCTGTAGATTGATAACTTTCACTTCCCTGTTTTATTTTTCTTTGTTTTTAGATTTTCAGTGAACCTGCCAGTGAACTCTTTTAAAACTTTTTTTGTTATATTTCCCTGTTGCTTTTATGTTTTATGTAAAGCACTGTGGATTACCTTGTTGAAATGTGGCCTTGCCTTGCTTTAATAATGCTGCAGATCAGATTTTATAATCTCCATTCTTTAAACCAAAATTACAAGTCGCACAAAACAGAGCTGCAAGACTGGTTCTGGGAAGCTCTGTCTGTGCTGAAAAGTTACACTCCAGCCTCTCATGGCTCACCGCTGAGCAAAGGATTTCCTGAAACATGGCTGCTCCATTAACTCACAGAACGTTTTTATTCCAATAAATAGTCGACTGCAGGAACACAACAACAGATTGGCTGGTGATGCTCATATTTTGGTACCCGGCCTAAGGACTAACAGTTTAACTAATTTACACCCAAATATAATACAAAATAAATTATCTCTCAAAAAGAATATGAAGAGACATCTTTTGGTACGTAGATGACCCGCTTAACAGAAGGAAGCATAACTCTGCCAGTTTCTCACTATTCGTGCTCCGTTTTTATATGAACTCTCATTCTTTTGATTATTTCAATAAATATTCCACCTAATCTGTATGTTCAGTGGTGACTGGAACTGTACATGAATGTTTTAAACAATAAATGCACTTTTTTTTTTTATTGATGTAGATTCATGTTCAGTCACAATGAGGTGGTTTTATTAATACACGTTAAAGGTTGTGGCATCCGAGCGAGTTGTATAGCTACAGTAAAAACAAATGTTTTTTATGAATATTATTGTTACTTGTTCATTAATAAACAACAGCCACATGAAGAAATGAAGTGCTACATGATGTCTCACACTCCTGTAATACAGGATTTTACATCTTGGAAGGGTTTGATCATCTGGACTGACATACCAAAGTAAATGACATCTCACATCTCAGAAACACTGTCACATCAAGTACGGCCACTGACAGATACCAGGACAATGTAGGCCTCACTGTTTCTGCACCACAGTCCATTATAAATAACATAATACATGAAGTTTACAGAGGCATTGGTGAGGATCTGGCTGTGTTTAATTAATTAGATAAGCAATCTGCAAATCTTACCAAAATGTTTTTTTTAAATATTTAAAAATACAACAGAAACACAAAGTCGTACTGACAGCCATAATTTCAGCTTGTAGTAAAACGGTGCAACGTTTTTAATGTGAAAGTACAAATTACACAGTTGTGTGCACAGTGGTGAGGCACTATAAAAAAAAAATTCTAATTCTGAAAGTATTTATTATTGGTCACTTGACAGGCACGCGGTCTTGTTATATATCAACATTAGCAGTAAAAAGAAATACATGTTTTCCAGCAGGGCAGTAAAATGTGAAGTTTAGCTGCTGATCTGAGCTTCCCTGCTGTTACCGTTTTATTGCCAATAATATTCAGAATATCTGTTTATCTCAGGAAGGTAACGGCACATTTCTGTCCACGTCACAAAGCCGTAACAGAGCGCTGCAGAACAACTACATGAAGTTAATCCAACTACATTTCTACCAGAGCAGTAAAAGTTTAGCTAACGTTTTATTGCCAATTACTGATCAGCTGGTTGTCTCGCTAACTTAACCGGAAAAGCCAGAATAACAAGGCTACATGAGATTAATCCAACAAGATAAGACACTGACAGAGGAAACACGCCACGGCTCTCTGTGATCTTTATACACCACTGACTTTAATGTAATGAGTTATGTAAAGTGTGTCAGCTCTGGACCCCAGGAAGATTCATTAAAATCTTCGCTAATAATAATAAACAAAGTAGTTTGTCAGTTTCTTTTTTCAACGCTCTTTGTGAGACATTATTGCCACGAGAGAACCTCAGGTTTCATAAACTGCTGTAAACAAACACACACACGTCATTTTGCAGAAGGAAACAACAGATGTTTGGTTGAAAATCTGTTTTGACAAAACATATAAATGCTGTTAGCGTTATAAAGCCTCATACGCAAGCATGCTCTCCACAAAGTGCCTTCAGAATCTCATGTGACAAAGAGCTCATTCATTCATTCATTCATCTGTCACCTGTCTCTTGGTGTGTTCGCTGACCTCCCCCGGCATGTCATGGGCGCTCTTGATGAGCGTGCGGGCGATGTGGTAGTAATACACCGAGATGATGGCCAGAGGGATCAGGAAGTAAACCAGGAAGATCATCACAGAGTGAATCTTGGGATGCATCTGATTGGACAGCGGGTAGGGCACGCAGTTCACAAAGGTGACGTTAGTGTTGTCCCTGTGACCCTGAGAGAGGAGAGGGGAGAGCAGAGGGGAGGACAAGAGGCAAGGAAAGGAGACGGGGAGAGGAGATGAGAAAAGAAAAGGAGACCAGGAGTGGAGAGCAGAGGGGAGGAGACAAGGAGATGAGAGTGAATCAGAAGAAAACAGCAATGATGATAGAGAACACAGAGAAAGCAAACAGAAGAGGAGCAAAGGGAAGAAGAGATGAGAAGAAGGAGCAGAAGTAGAGAGAAAAGTGAAGGAGAAAAGGAGCGTAAAGGAGAGAACAGCCAACACATCAGTAACGATCATAAAACAGATGGAAGCTCATTCAGAAATCTGACTCTGAAAGAGTTTACGGCTGTCAGGGGAGCGTTTGTCTGGAGGGAAGCCCCACGGAGACGGTGAGCCTTCAGCAGTAAGTGATGAACAGCACACATTTAGTCTGAACGCTCAGAAGGTCAGGATCAGATCATGTTACAGCCAAATCCAGCTGTTTGCTAGATGGCTGTGTCACAGTACACATTATTTTGACAACAACTCTCCCATTAATTGATTCAAAAAGACTAAAACCAAAATTCTGTTAATTAATTAATATTGATAATATTGATACAGCCCTGCGATGGACTGGCGACCTGTCCAGGGTGTACCCCGCCTTGCGCCCGATGTAAGCTGGGATTGGCTCCAGCCCCCCCGCGACCCTGTACGCAGGATAAGCGGTTGACGATGGATGGACGGATGGAATATTGATACACCACCAGTGCACTATCACAAAATATACATTCATTTTAGTAGATCAAAGTTCATAAATGTTAGATCAGCCTGTCGTCACCAGACTGTGATTCTTACTGCTGAATCATTAATAGCTGCAGCATGTTTGTCTTATTATATTATTATCATATGTAGCCATTTTGCTACAATTACGCTTCACACGCTGCGGTTGTGTTTGTGACCTGACCTTTCTTTATCCCGTGAGAGGGAAGAATTTAGAAATTCCAGCTGCAGTAGTGCACGGATCACCATGCATAATATTCATCCAGCCAGAGGGAACGATCACAAACCGTTCACAGCGTGTCGGTCGTACTAGCGGCACAACCAGTACCGGAGAGGGAGCGAGGCGGACCAGGGACAGGAGATCGCAGAGCGACCGGCCTGCTGCGTACGGTCGGTGATCGTTCCCTCTGGCTGAATGAAGTCTGACACTCCTGGTTTTACGCACGGATCCATGATGATAGAGAAATATAGAGATTAATGGCAATAAATCATGCTGTCAATATTTTAGAGACCCTTCAAAATATCACAAATCATGCTTGTAGGGGAGCTAAGCTCCCATTGGCTCCCCCATAGTTCGCACTCTAAACTCCTGGACTTTAATAGCTCCTGTGTTTCAGCAGATTTTCTGCTCATGGTCAAAACTTTCTGCACATTCAGAATCTCTCCAACATGTCTGTGTTCTCTCGATCAAAAAATATAATCACCACCCCACAGGAATCCAGGAATTAAGCAAATTTACCAAGTAAACTAAACATGTGGTGGTGGTGGGGGTCGTTACTCCAGCTTTGTCTCCTGCACTCTGTCTGGACCACTGACTGTATATGAAAAAGTCTGGACTCACAGCGTGAGCAGGTTCAGCTGGTGTCTAACAGCTGGGCGGAGTTGATTTCGCTCTGTGAGTTTAATCTTATCAGTTCTACATTTGTATTTCACTGCATGAAAAAATTAATGTGCGGCTTGACGATGTGTGAAACATGTAATATGCGCGAGTCTCGCGAGCTTTTTAATCTGATTTAATCTTGCGATATCTCGTGGCACGAGTTCTCGTCACACCCCTGCACCATACGATTGTATCATAATTCCACTGAAATATTATATATGATAATATCAAAGTGCCGCCCTTAATTTGGGGCCGGGGTTAGAGACCAATCCTCAAGAAGAAAACGTTTGTATGGGGGCGTTACTTCATTATTGTAGGTATGGTGGTTGTTGTTGTAGTATTTCAGAAGTGTTTGTTGTATTTCCAGTGTCTTTATTTTACCTGCATGGAGACAACTTGTGAGAAAATGGCCTCAGGAACAGCCAACAGGACGGACAGCAGCCAGATAGAAACAGCCTTCAGACACGTCCAGAAGACAGCACTGGACGTCTGGATGTCCATCGGGTTCACTATCGCCTTGTACCTGATGGAGACAGGGAGAGAAACGTCAAGGTGGCAAATTTCCATGTTAATGTCGCAAAAGTCGAAATCGACACCAAAATTCACACAGATTCAGTGATGGGTGGATCCACGGATTGAGCCGATTAACATGAACTGATTAAATGCTGGTGTGACCCGGCCTTTATATTGACCAAAGACCATCCTGTTCCGTCAGTGAGTCTCCACCGGGGTCCTATTCCTTGTTGCTAAGTTTTTGACTTGCTAGGTTTTTATGGATAGAACATGATCATCAGAAATCAGAACAATACTGTCTCATCTAAACTCAGTGTTCCTGTCAGCCTCTTTGCTGGGTATTAATATCTGCTGTTGTTTTCACATGACAACTGCCTGGTCTTACAGTATGAACACACTGATCCATCTTCATGAAGCACATCCTCAAAAGCACAGACACATTCAGGTGAAACACCTTGCAGCAGTTCTGGAGGGTACAGCTGCTCCTACAGGGCAGGTCACTTCCCATGGTGCATTGCTGCGGAGTGCACCAGCAACACTGAACCCTCATTATCTACTACCTGTGACCTTTCAGCTCCCTAAGCTACCAGAAGGAACTCCTTCTCCCTGTGATGCTGAGGGAGCGCAGTGTTCAACAAACTTCCTATCACAACCCCACACTTTTTATTATTCTGCAGCAAACACACTGAAATATTTTGGCTGTATTTCAACACGGATCTGTGAACAAAGAGATTAAATTAGACATTAAAAGGCTGCTGCTGTAGATATGCACATTAATTGACATAAAAACATGAAACGAGCCTGTCGTCCCCTTTCGAGTTTTCTGGGCGGAAAACAAATATAAATCATCTACCAATCATACTTTTTCTTGACAGCATTAGTGGCTCCAGGCTCTTTGGGAGTTAATGAATTCTGGCAGCCATCGCACGGCTGTGGCTGCAGACTGCAGGACAAAGGGAGGAAACAATAGCGCTTTGTCACTCAAATAGTAATTATTCGTTATGTGTAATCATTGAGCTGCATTTTAGAGTCCTCATTAGAAAGAGCCAATTAGCTGGACGGGGACAGAGTGTAGGACTCATAGCAGTGAGTAACAGCCGCCTGTTGATGCAGCTGGCTCAGGTTTATATCTCACATGTTAGATTGTTGCATTTAGAATGAAAAATTAAAATGAGGAAAGGGTTTGTTCGAAGCCAAAAGGGCATCCACTACAACCGGTTCTCGCAAGGTCAAGACCCATCGGCATCAGTTTGTAATGCACGGGGCGTGCCTATAGGGTCGTAGTGGGGAGCCCTGTAGTGTCAGTTTTTGATGGTAAAGGCAGGTATATGATGTTTAACAGAACAGACTGGGTGAGGAGGTGGTTGGGGTGGATGAATGGATGAATGGCCAGAACCCGGACTTTGAACCAGGAGACCAGGGTTCGTGTCCTGTGTGAGACACACACATTAAGTATTTTTATTTAAGTTGCGTTGTGACGCCCCTGTGTGGCTTGACTGTGTATGTTTGTCACTACTGCAATGGTGATGGGTTTTTCTGTTAGAGGAGCTGATTGCAGTGGTCCCTCCCGGATCGGGTAACACGATGACATTACTGATTTAGCTGACTAACCCATCTCACAATTTAAGCGTTATTTTGGTTCTCTCATGTTACAATAAACCTTGCTCTTTGAGGCGTTGTGTCTTTTCCCACTTTTTGTCATGGTCTTTGAACCTGGTCATGACAACGTAAATTGTGTCAGTTATGCAAGTGACATAAGTTAAGTTGGGTGTTAACTGACGTATGTAGTTATCTAAACCCAAACATGATCTTTTCTTAACCTTAACCAAGTAGTTTTGTGCGTAAACCTAACCAAACTGCAACGCTTCACGACTTTAATAACGTGCCGTTTCGAAACGCTAGCGTTTTATTTTGAAAGTCTAACTGGATGTTGCATATTTATTGTTGCTAACTGTTGTGTGAAGCTCAATATGTGACGAGTCAGGAGTGAGAATGTGTTGCAACTGTTCAGAAAGGCACTACATGTCTAAGGCATTTAGTGTTTTCTTGTCAGGCTACTCAGAATGCCAATTTACATGTGAACGCTAACGAACCAAGAGGTATCCATCTCCTTGATAATGACCCCTCAGAGGTTAAATGGCTTAGACTCCCTGCCAGTCAGTCAGAACTGAACAAGCCTCTTGGATTAGAGGCGAAACGTCTTCAAGTATCTTCAAACAAGTCCAGTTGTCCTTGATTTGAAGCTGCCTTGGATATAACTCTGACCTGGATGACTGAGAACTTTCACAGTCATAGGTTTTGGGGCAGCAGTAGCTCAGTCTGTAAGGATTAGGCTGGGAACCGGAGAGTCGCCAGTCCTGCTCGGACCAGAGTTGCCAATGTCATTTTGGACTTGCTAACTGCAGTTTGTCTTGTCATAAAAACTGCATTTATAGAATCAGCAGTAAAATCGCTAAACAAGTTTGCTTACTTTGTCCCAAAATAATATTTAAAAAGCGTTTTTCCCCACAGGTTAGATTTCTGCTACACATGCACGGTAGTAATGACGCATGTGTAATAGACCCTTACCTTAGTGGAGCCACACGATTGGCTAAAATATGTTTTCCGATCTTTGGTGTTGAGGGATTTCCCTATAGAGTTGTACTGAGGATTCTTAAAGTGTCTCCTCAATAAAATGTCTCTGCTAAAGCCTAACCAAACTGCTGAACAAGACTTGCGTGACAAACTTGAGGTCCAGTACAACTGTCGCTGGGCCGTTACTTTCCAACAGTCGTATGTTGTTTCAGGAGTCACTAACAGTCGAACTATTTTGTCGTTTAGGTACAAGGACGGGTTGATTTATTTTAATCAATCGCATATCTGATTCTACACTCCTTGAAAATGAAATTCTCATCACATTCGATCTGATATGATGTCACTTTGTGTAACCTTCCTGTTTTATGTTCCGTGTGCTGCTGCTGTCTGGGCCAGGAGAAGGAAAAGAGAGTTAATCTCAGTGAGACGCTTCTTCTATCTAGCCTATATGTGCGCGTGTTGCAAAGGAAAGGCTGATTATTTGTAAATGTGATGTCGAGCCCTCTTTCAGCCCGCTGCTTGTATTACACTGTCAGGATGTTAAACTGTGTTTATGTAACTGACTGTTTCCAGAGCTGGTGTCATGACTTGACCTTGTATCTCCGTCAGGATATTGTGCACTTGTGTTCCGTTTGATTACTCATCCTTTCACATCTTTTTAAAATTAAACTAGTCGTTCTCTTCCTGCTGGATTTATTGACAGAGACGGTTCACAGCGAGGTTGGATTTCATTCATTCTCTCTGTGTCCTCTCCTGCCCATCATCGTGTGCTGTATCTCACTTCATGTTTCATTGATGTTATGATTGGTTGATTATTTATGTGATGTAGAAGCTATACATTTGACATTTTGTCCCCAGGCAGTACGTTTTGGCACATCACTCAGCGATGCAGGTGTGTTTCAGGTAGTAGGAAGGGTGACTATGTGGACAGTCTGGAGCTGATGTTGGAGAAGGCCTGGAAACACTGCTGGCAGGAATGTGCAAGTATTTTTATTTATTTTTTTCATTTTTATCGATTAAAATAACAAATGATGATAATAAGAATAACATTGTCACATTTGTTCCCTACATTTAACCCATCATAGTTTAGAGGATTGTGCAGTGCAGTGACAGCCAAATACATCCGCACGTGATAGTTAAACATGTGACACCATGTTTATTAAATAAAAAAATGTAATGTTTTTATTTGAGGATTAAAATGTGTGTGTGTGGATTGTTTAAGTATATTCGTGGGGTCCAGAAACCCGGATCACACAATACTTGTGTGGTCTGACAGCATTGTTGGCACCAAAATGTTTGAGCTCATAAGTTTGAAGAACTGTTTGAGGGTTAAGACTCGGATGTAGGGTTAGAGTTGGAATAAGGGCCAGGCATGTAGTTGTGATGGTTAAGGTTGGGATGAGGAGTTAGGGAATGCATTATGCCAACAGGAGGTCCCCACGGGGGGTAGAGGAACTCTATCCCATTTAGACAGCAGAGCATTAGTGAAGTCTAACACTGATGTTGGGCCAAACCAGGAAAAACGCTAAAACTAAATGTCCCCTAAACAACAACACCCACGCAGTCACCACACCAGTAAACAGTGGGGAGGATAACCTTCTGGGACAGTCCCTCAGGATATATTCTTTCACAGAAAAGCTGCATTGTGTACCTCAGCTCCAGGGTCAGTATCATCGGTCTGCATCTGTCCAAATGTTCAGAGTAATGGAGTGTGCCCTTCAAATAAAAAAAACCCACTGCTGCACTTTCTTATTTGCAACCCTCTCAACGCTGGAGCAGGACTGAGGCCCTGTTTTTCTCTCTCCTGTGTTTACAAACATGACTGGATAAACTTTAAATCGCTTTAATTTAGTTGTTGTCTAACGTTACATTGACTGTGAGAGCAGGTTCCCTACTGCATTACCCAAAGAACACCTGAACAAACACCTGGACACTGTCTCACTTACTGCTGCTTTATTTATCTCAAAATGCTGATTTCCAAGCTCCTAAAGAAAGAAAGAAAGAAAAAGCTCTTAATTATGGGATCCTTATATTGTAATTATTAGACACACATCTCATAATTCAACCCTGTCAGCCAGAAATTACAATTATAAACCACTAAATAGCAACAGCAAATATCTGTCGAGAGAAACTTAATGTCATCCGGATTACCCTTTTTTATCAACTTAATGAGGAAGCGTATCAGGAGAAAACATTCCCACTGAACACGATCCATCCTGTGATTACAGTATGTTTACCTCAGAACATCTTTAGCAGAACAAAGTAGTCTTCTATATAAATGTAATTTCTAGGAAAACAAGGATTTGTAATTATGAGACCGTTAAGAAGACTGAACTGACACTACCTAATTTCATTCCCTTTTAATTCCTCTTCTGTTTGTGACTAAATGACAATTTGTGTTCGTTAGACATCCTGAATGACAGACACACAAAGCAC